ATATATATATGGATATGTATATTTGCAGGAAAGTTTTTATAGATTTTAACATTCTGTGAATTTCCTGGGACAGCTACGGCAGAATTTGAGATAAAAAAATTTAAAAGTAAAAAAAAAACATGTGCAAATCATATCTCTTTCCATGCAATATACTGTACACACATTTAAGAATAGTCTGTTGGTATCTTTCGAGGGAGTTTTTTTCACTGTCGCCTTCAGCTTGCACACTATGACTCATTTCCTGTAAAGCTGCTTTGAATAACATTTATCAACAAACGTCTATGCAAATAAATTTAAACTGAACTGAAAACATAGCACACTTTAAATAATGGGCAGAAAAATTATGCTATTCACTTGTTACGGAAAATTTTTTTTTTCAGATATTTAATTTATGAAATAACATATTGTCTTTGTACGCATACACACATGAGAATATGCAACTGGCTTTACATTTCAATGGCATTATTTAGATAACTCACTGATAACAACTATTGTTCTTTCTTTTTATAGAACAATATAATGAATTTTAATGCATGATTTCACTTTTTAAAATTCTAGATTGGAGCTTTAGTGTGAGTGTTTAAATGTTACAATTTTATAGAGTTATATCAGCCATTATATCAGTAATCAATAACATAAAACAATGATCAAATCAACAAAAAATTCTATATTGGCATTTTCAGAATTATGTTTTGTTTTTAGTACATCCCTCCTTTAAACAGGTGATTGACCAAATTAGGATCAATGTAAAAACATTCTGAATGAGAAAAAATAAGAAAGACCAGATTTTTCAAATCTCTCTGTTCATCTCATGCAATCATCCTTCTTTCTCTCTCACACAATATCTCTACTTGAGGGACAAACAACAAGATCTTGCCCCTACATTGTCATTGTGACAAATCTCCCACAGCCAAATCCCTTTAGCTGCCTTCACTAGAGCCGAGACCAGTCCAGCCTCAACCCTCCATCTAGGCAAGGTCTCGGTGTCATTCCTCCGTCGCTCAATCCATCCTCATTCTCCATGATCTGCGTTATTCACACTCTCATACAACCCTCCCAGGTCAACAGAGTCGTTTGGTTGCTCATTCATGCCCGGAACAAAGCAGAAGACACCCAGACACACGGCAGCCGTCACATTGTGGTTTATGTTAATAATAGACAGCTGGATGACTTTCTACAGAAAGACACATGCAGCGTTGAATGAGATAACGAGACTCAATAAACTCTTAACGACTTGCCCAACAATCAGAGAAAGAAGGAAGCATTTTTTTGTGAGGGAAAAAAATTAGTTATGAAGCTAATCAATCAAGCAATCAAGCCCGCATCCACAGTGCTTTGAACAATTAGAGGGCTGTGCTCAAAATTCAATACCTCCGCTTTCAGAGGAAGATGCTTGGAATAGTTATCAGTCCCAACTAGCAGTTACTAGACTCAACACAACCAATACAAGCCATTTTGTCTACAGTGCTGTCTGTTAGTTCATTAACATGCATGCAGTATGTAGAGGCCTCTTCAGATTTTTTAGTCCAGTGGATTTTTTATGCAGCTTACAAAATAGTTCTTTGCATCTTTCATATTTAAGTTGCACTATTGAGTAAATGTTTGTCTAAAACACTGTGGCCGAAACCAGCCATTCACTTCATTAACATGCATGCAGTATGTAGAGGCCTCTTCAGATTTTTTAGTCCAGTGGATTTTTTATGCAACTTACAAAATAGTTCTTTGCATCTTTCATATTTCATATTTAAGTTGCACTATTGAGTAAATGTTTGTCTAAAACACTGTGGCCGAAACCAGCCATTCATACCGTTCTAAAGTTTAAGGTCAGTAAAAAATTTTGTGACAGTATAGACATTTACACTGTTACACAAAATTTTTATTCAAAATAAATTGCTGTTCTTTTGAACTTTCTATTCATGAAAGAATTATGGAAAATGCATCATGGTTTTTTACAAAAATATCAAGCAGCATCACTGTTTTCAACACTGATAATAATAAGAAATGTTTTTTGATCACTAATTTAGCATATTAGAATGATTTCTGAAGGACCATGTGACACTGAAAACTGGAGTAATGGCTGCTGAAAATTCAGCTTTGCATCGTGGCAATAATTTATATTATAAAATATATTAAAATGCATTAAAGGCAGAGTAAGTGATTTCTGGTAGCCAATGTTGATATTTGAAATCACCAAAACAAACAGGCCCCTAAAAGGGTCTTGCCCCTATTTTGATAGCTCCGCACCACATAAACGTACTCAACCCAGGCAACGATTAGTTCTGTGAAACAAAGCAAAACCAATGTTACACCGTGTCTACGGACGTGAGCGGCGCGGCGCAACAAATCCCCGACAGAAAACTGCTGCCGGGTTCTATTTATGACGTGCTGACACACATTTCAAATGGTTTTCAACGGTCGTTTGATCGCGTCCAGTGTAGGCAGACTTTAGCTGTTGTAGACACGGTGTTACTCACCTATTGAGAAGAAACAAAGCAACCTCGGCGTCCGATCGCAGGCCTCCGCTCCTTGAGTTCTCTCCAGCGCTGGAAAGCTGATCCGATATTTACACGGGTCCTACTTCTTGCCTTATCCTTCCGCAGACGTTTTCCTCTTTAGTTTTTTATCCGCCATCTCTATCTCTCTGTCGCTCGGCTCGGCTAATGTCCGTCCCATGCACTGAAAGCTCTCTCCTCCACATCACGAGTAGACACGCCCCTTATTGCTGATTGGCTACAAGTTTGTTTTGCAATTCGGCCCGAATCAGTTTTCTAAAGTGTTTTTGAAAAATCACATACCGTGCCTTTAAATACATAAAATGGTTATTTTCAATTGTAATAATATTTTACAATATTAAAGATTTTACATTTATTTTATTATATCAAATAAATGCAGCACTGGTCATCATAAGAGACTTCTTTCAAAAACATTTTGAAAAACAAGGCATACTGTATATAAATTTGGTCAGTTCAGTTGAGTCACACTTTCTGCAAACTCTTTACTTAAAAAAAATCTTAATCTAGCCATCTTCATTTTGAGAAAAACAGGTATGACTTTTCCCCATTAAACAAAAAATGAATTATTAAAATATCAATGCTCTTTTCCATACAAAAAATTAAAAATGAAAAAAAAATTGATTGTTCCTGCACATATGTTCTTCTGCCATTGTGAACAGAACAGTAATACAGTACTCTGGAAGCATTTCCTGCGTTTCCTGCTTCTCTATTCAGTGGCACCACAACAGCGCTACTGAATCTACTGTACAGCAAGAACCAGGAGCGTCAGACAGGGGTAATGGTGAAACAGAGTTACAACCAAGAGTCAACCAAGGGAGATCCCAGAATCCCTAGTGACACCACTGGAAAGAACTATACAGTGCAACCAGTGTAATTCAAACAACTCCTGAATGAAGGAATGAGTCGGTTCTTTTTAGTCAATCAAAACAATACGCCGCAACCAGTATAATAGAGACTTAATGGCAATTATTTCCACCTCTAATGGTAATACAGGCACATTATGTTATAAATAACATTCAGTTTCTTGCACAAACCGATTGTTTTGCTTCATAAGATTGCAATATATTGCTAGAAGTCACGGGTATTAATTCTGTGTTGCCTGATATGCTTTTTTGACTCTCAAAGTGACGGTAGCTGTTGACTTGCATTTTATGAATCACCAAGCCTTGGTAAGCATAAGAGACTTCTTTCAAAAACATTAAAAGATCTTTCAAGTTCTAAAATAATTAATGGAACTGAAATCATTAAGAAGAATCTGTCTTTAAACAAATATCTTATTTCGCCTAGGGCACCAAGTGAACCAGGACTTTAGGGGTGTAGAATCAATGTGTACTATTGCTTTTTAAAAAAGATTTTCAGTTTTCCCTTTGCTCTAGGTGTAGCAACATATAACATTCAAAAACCATTCAAAAGAAAACGCATGGATGTGGTAATATTACCTTCTACGTCAGGGCTGAGGTAATTTCGTACTTCGCTCAGGATAAAGTTGATGTCATCTTCCACAGGGATTGGATGGGCGGTGACTTCAGTGGGTGTATCTGTCGTGCCGGCGATAGTCATCTTCTCCCAGGGCAGGAAGAATATGACACGGCCATCACTGGTGGCAGGGTCTAACAGCCCCATGTTGTCTGGGCTATAATTGGTAGGAAGAGTACAGATGTATGTTATATCTCTATGCACCGTTAAAACCATAAAATTACACTTGAGGAAAAAAAGGTACAATATGATTGCAGGATTCAGGTAAGTACCTGTAATATCCAGGGATTACAATGTGCACTCCTGCACTAGGCTGGCAGATGTTGGCAGTTTTCTGGCTGTCCATTTTGCGCAGTGAGTCAGTGAAGGGGCCGGTAGCGTTAATGACACATTTGGCACGAATGTCAAACTCCTGCCCTGTGAACGGCAGTGTGAGGTGTTACACTAACTCAACGCAGCTGACTGGGGTTATTTGCTGAGGATGGAAGACAAATCTCTTCATAAAAGGATTCTAAGCAGAAAATTTAAAGGGCTTACTGAAAGGTGATTAGTTGCTGGGTTGTGGGGAAATGAAACTTTAAAAGAAAGCAAAGATTCAAGAAATAGTCTTTACATAGACTTTATATTAAGATCTCATCTCATGTCTTAAGGTACAGTCACATTTACCATTGTTCTGCAAATTTTTGTTCGCAAAATCTGGTTATTTCAATGGAAATCCACGCAATCGGAATTTCGTACAAGGGCGAAAGATTTCCATGCATACATTTCACAATTTAAGTTGATCACACAGATCTACTGCGTTGACCAACAGAAAGCTGCTTACTTCTGTGTAAGCTGTCATTTCATAAGCAAAATGTCAGTTTTCTGGCACTAAAACAGTTAATTTAGTTTTCGGTCTGGGCATATCTCACCTGTGATTATGTCTCGGCAGTGGGCTCCACAAACTTTCTCTTGGCCTGTTTTTGGGTCTGGTTTCTTTAGCAGATGAACCACCTCTGTGTAGTTGGCAATCGCAGCACCATGGCGGGCCGCTGTAAGAGTGATGGCCATGTTCATCCGGGCATCATTGTGTTGTCCTGAAAAGAGCCAGAGCAGAATGTGTCACAATACTCATATACAAAAAAACAAACATTATTCATAAACGAGACGTACCGTAGAAATATTTGTAAATAAAGCTATGTATAAGTGCTTGCTTTTTGTTTTTTGTTTTTTTGCATTTTTAGAATACAAAAAAAAAACATTTACAGTGTATTATGTAAACCACATAATAAACCCCTTTCCCCACAGAACTAGAATCTCTAAAAATGTTTTTGTTAGAATTAATTAACCTCTTAACTTTAGCTAATTTTTTTTTTCTTCTTGAAACTATACAGTAGCTTCACACACACACACACACAAACACATGCTGGTATTGGTGGTTTACGGGAACTCTCCATAGGCGTAATGCTTTTTATACTGTACAAACTTTATTTTCTATCGCCCTACACCTAAACCTACCCCTCACAGGAAACTTTGTGCAGTTTTAGATTAAAAAAACCACACCATTTAGTATGTTTTTTAAGCCTTTTGAATTACGGGGACACAGGTAGTGTCCTCATAAACCACTTTCATATTGTAATACTGGTGTCATACCCATGTCATTATACAAATGTTTTTGTCCTCATAAACCACCCAAACCAGTGCGCGCGCACACGCACACACACACATACACACACACACAGTCATACAAATAAACAGGGACATTCGATAGATTTCTATTTTTTATATACAGTTAAAAATACAGTAATCTAACCTTTACAGAAAACTTTCTGCATTTTTACCTTTTTTTTTTTTACTTTATTTACTTTTTTTTAATATAGTTTTTAAAAATTAAAACATTTCCAAAAGAAGGTTTTGGGGAGGTTTCGTCAGATTTAGCTCACCTCTTGGTACAAATTCATACCCAAAACATGGTTAAGTAGGTACAAAATGTTTTTCTGTACTTGCCAGAGGCCACTGCACCCAGTTAAGATTCGCTTTATGATTGCAGTGTTTGAAGTGGTATGACGGTGTTCAATATTGTTATAGGGCCTTTTGAGGCATTTAAACTATTTCAGACACATTTGAAACATGAATTACAGGAAACCTTGAAGCCAACGCGATATCACTCTATTACGGCAACTAAAGAGCCACTAGATTTAAAAAAAAAAAGCCTCTGTGTTCTCGATGCTAAAGAACCAGAGGGATAGGTAACCCACGTAAGCATGTCTAATGCTAACACATGCTCAGGGCAACTCCACCAGACAATAAAATAATAACACAGGCAGGAAGCCTGTTTAAAGGGCACACTTCTCAAAGAATAATGTGCAGTGAAGGCACCAGCATGCTTTGTTAGAGATCCCATGAACCTGGGTTTGCCTCAGTGCTCAAGGCTCAGCGCTCAAATCATGATACAGGGAAAATATCCATGTAGAGAAGGATAATACACACATATGCATGTTGGAATATTGTTAATATCATTTAAGAGAACAAATCACAGCTCACACGGAAAGCTGTGTCCCGCAGCAGTAGACAAAAAACGCTTGGCTGAGCTTGAATGTTTATTAGAGTTCAGCTTGCAGGTATGGCGAAAAGAGCAGGGCTTTTGTGCTGCAAGCGGAATTCTAATGAAATGAAGAAACCGCGACATTACAAATGACTGAAAACGCAGATAAGGGAGTTTTAGCGTCAGATTAGATTAATAAAAAAAGACCTACAGAAAGAATGAATGACATATCATAGCGGAGGAGGGATGTGATGGGAGGCCGTGCATGTGGATGAGATAGTGAAAGAAAGAAAGGGAGAGAGGACTCAAGGAGGATGAGGGACAGGAAGAGAAGAAGCGAGAGAGTGCGAGTAGAGGAAAAAGAGAGAGAGAGGGAGAGAAATAGAGGGAGGCAAATAGCGACAGGCAGGCTGCGATCTCCAGCGGAGAAGGTCAGATTCGGAAATGTCACGGCCGTGATTGTTCCAGATTGAATAATTGGAGAGAAAAGCCGGCTGACAACCCAGGGGAAGAAGGGATGGGGGGTTGGGGGGGACAGACGTGGGGAGAAGAACGAATAAAACCTCTAAACTGTCATTACAATCGCCGGTTTCGATTCTCCACACACATACATACGCAAATGAAGACGCTATTTAACGCAGTCACTGGCAGCACGTAAACACGGCGCGGCAGGGAACAGAGCATCCAGACGTCTCTTTGCCTCTGTTTCTCCCACAGATGGACGCGATGTGACAGATCGCTGCTCAGATAGCCGCCGCGCTCCCCCTGAATATAAGCTGCCCGGGCGCCCTGCGAGGGACCGTGTGTGCCAACGCAGGCCAAATGTAGTTTGACAGGAAGCACCGGAAGGCAGGATTGGTGGGCGGGGCTTGTGCTGCCACGGACGGGACCTTGAATAAAGGGGACACATTCTGCACACCCAGACTAACCAGGAACATATGGAAGTTTTGCCTGGTGGCAGCCTCGGGCGGCGCAGGGCGCAGACGGGCCAACAGAGACACGAGCACAATGAGTTCGGCCGCAACAGCCGGTGGTGGTTTTACAAAGATTATGGAGGAATGTCACAGAGACAAATGAGATGGCAGTTATTGCCGCATAAAACCGCAAATGAAAATAGTTATGATATTTTCATGATAACAAATCTTGGATTGACATACAAGATTTTTTTCTTATTTAAAGAAAAATAATATCTCTGTCCCTTTTCTCCCTATCACAGGCTTGGCAAAGGCATTACTCGTACGTTTTTATTCTGTTTTAAAGTTCCTCTGAATTATGGGTGTGAATCTATGTGTTGACAGCAATTTGTTTTCTGGATGCGATCACAACAGTTAAATGGCACTGGTTCTGTATATACTGTATATGTATGTTAGTTAAACAATTGCTACAGTTAATATGTCATTATATTATACTATTGTACTGTATGTACACTATCATTCAAAAGTTTGAGGTCAGTAAGATTTTTTTTTTAAATAAATCATTACCTTTATCCAGCAATAATGCATTACATTGATCAAAAGACAACCAAGACATTTATAATGTTACAAAATTTCTATTTGAAAAAATGGTGTTTTGCATTTTGGTCTTTTGAACTTCACATTCATCAAAGAATCCTGAAATACAAGTATCACAGTTCCCACAAAAATATTATGCAGCACAAAATTGATATCAAGAAATGTTTCTTGAGCACCGAATCAGCATGTCAGAATGATTTCTGAAGGATCATGTGACCCTGAATAATGGATTAATGGCTGCTAAAAATTCAGCTTTGCCAACACAAGAATAAATTACATTTTAAAAATTATGAATTGTAGTGATATTTCAAAATATTACTGTACTTTGATCAAATATTAAAATAATATTCTTACTGACCCCAAACATTGAACGTGTATATAGTATCAAATGACTTTAGAAATTCATTCATTTTTAGCATTTTAAATTGATTACTGGACAAAAGAAATGATAAAAACAAAATGTGCGTAGTATCACCTCAGCTCTGAACATTTTCAGATCATACGCAAGACTGAAATGATAGATTCACTCCTGCTCACCATCATAGTAGACAATGGCTCCCACGAGTTTGTCTTTCTTCAGCATAGGGAAGAGCTCCAGTGCTTTGCTCTTGCTCAGGACGTAGCTGCTCTTCAGACACTGTGATCCGGCAACCAGGTCGTACATTTTAATGCCAGCCCAGTAATACGGCAGCTGCCACCACCTGTGTAAAACATCAACAGTCATATTTAGTACCAGTAACACACTATCATTGTCTGTGAATTCAGCAAATGTACTGACTGCACAATCTCTATTAAAATATACAAACAAGGATATTTTGAGTACCCTGGTGGGGGAAAAAATGTTGGTTTGCTGGTCTTAATTGTTTTCCCAGCCTTATCTGTTTGCTGGTTTTTCCTATATAGGTAACCAGGTAAGGTTGGTTTAGGCTTTTTTTAAGCAGGGTGTATTACTAAATAAAATAGATATATTCTCCATGAGCAGAACTGGATTTGTCCAAGTGTCACTAAGTCATATAGCACCTTGTGACATATTTGTTTTAAGTTTTTTTTTTAAATCGGACAGGCAAATGATGTAATCTTGAGGTTTCTCATTTCTGTGACCCTTTCACACTTCTCCGGCTGCTTTAAATATCAGAGCAAGGCATAAATGCCACGAGTAATTAATAATGATGATGGTAAAGACAGGAAGATCCTTTAAAAAACCCGAATGACAAGGGGCAGAGACTGAGGAGGCGAGAGGTCCAGCATTGATCCACAGAATATCCGAACCCCACCTGCTGCAGGTGTCCATATGAAAGGTTCAATACCATTTCTGTGAACTTACCAATGGATTTAAATACAAAAACTGTCTTTTATGAATCTAGGATGTCTCTGGTGTTTCTCTTTAACTTTGTTCTGTCTAAACCCCATATTTCCATTCCTTTTTTATATATTTTTTCCCTTTCAATGATCAGTGTTTTTATTCTCGGACGTGTAAATTAGTGAACAGAGTAGTTGTAAGTAGTAATTAGATCAAACTGTTTTTCTTACTTGTAAACAGGAAGCATTATAGGTAAAGGTGCAGACAGGTGGGGAGCGATGTTCAGCAGATTGGCACGTTCATGAAGGGCCTCTTTCACCATCATGTACTAAGGAAGTAGAAATAAATCTGTTAAGCATGTAATTTATGTTCTAAAACAAAACATGAAAATGTCTTCAATCAGTGTTAACCACAGAGGCCAATTTACTCATAAATTAAAAAAACAACAACTCTACTCTAAAAACCCATAGAAAATTCAAGTCTTTGAATTATCTTCATTTGGGGGCTTTTGACAGCAAATACTGATATGTGACCCTAAACCACAAAACCAGTCTTAAGTCGTTGTATAGCAATAGCCAAAAATACATTGTATGGGTCAAAATTATTGATTTTTCTTTTATGCCAAGTAAAGATCATGTTCCATGAAGATATTTATTCAGCTTTCAGATGATGCATAAATCTCAATTTCGAAAAATTGACCCTTATGACTGGTTTTGTGGTCAAGGGTCACATATATGCAATTAATATAAATATGATCCTATATTTTACGGTCATTTTATTCCCTATTAAATACTTAATCATATTTTAAATATGCATTTTTAAAATGACATTAAGTTGGCCAACAACCAATCCTGACTGCAGTCGTTTTGAGTTCAAAATTTTAGAGTGCTGCTATTTCCGATTATAATTTACAGTATCATTTTTGTATTTACTTATTGAAACAGTTGATGATCAAGCTACTGTAAGTTTTGGTTATTCAACCTCCACACTGATGCCTCAGATCTGCAGTATCCTACTAAATGTTTGTGCTTTTATTTGTCTGTCTCATGTGTTCAAAATGTCACAGTGGTGGCATAAGCGGCCTTGCAATCCTTCTTCTAAATATTAGGGGCAAATAGGGAAAAATGGGGCCTTCACCTGCTCATAATCTAGTTTCATGATGGCTTTCTGCAGATAGCGGACTCCGCCGTGAATGAGCTTGGTGCTTCTGCTGCTGGTGCCTGATGAAAAATCGCTCCGTTCTACCAGGGCGGTCTTCAGATCTGGGCGAGGGGGCAGAAAGACAGGTAAGGAACGGATTAGACAATGCACTGGCATTTCAAGACCTTATGGTGCCAAATATTTAGACTGCAGCTGCTGTCATTTACATATGGCTTTCTCCACTATCTGTAATATCACAACATGTTTATTGCACCCAGGCACATTCTGCCATGGCCTTCAGAGATGAATACAACGTCTAATGAGAATAAAAAGAAAGAAAATTAAAAACAAACTAAATTAACACTAAAATATGTACGAGACAAATCAAAACTGACCTGCACAATAATATCAATAAATATCACAAAACTTAAAAAGTACATACTCCGCGTGACAGCGTCTAAGGCACATCCTGAGCCTGTGGCTCCGCCGCCCACCACCAAAACATCAAACTCCTCTGTGTTTCGCAGTGTTGAAAGCTGCTCCTCTCTTGTTGGGAGAGCATCTTTAAACGGCACCTTTAGCTCACCCTGCGCTTCAACATATACCAGCCGAGCCTGAACAAATCCAGCAGATACACAAAACAGAAAAAAGGACCAATATAAGAAGACAATGTGGTTAAAGACATTTCAATACCCTGCATGCTCTTTAAAGATGCAATCCAGAATTGACATTTCATAAGCATTACTGTGCAATTGCATGTAAAATCACAATTCTAAGATGCCCTATATTGTTATGCAAGTTGTCATTGCTAAATCGACATCCAAACATAAGGCTTTTTCTGGATTGATCTTTAAAATATTAATAGTATTAATAATAGATTAATTTAGATGAATTAAATAAGACAAGTAAACATGTCTAGAAAATGACTAGAGAAACACTGAACATGCACTTTTCATAATAATCACTCCACATCAAAATGACATAGAATATATTTCATAAAACATTATGTTAGTCAGCATGCCAAGACATAGGAATTAAGCAGAATGCATAATTGTTCATCTCAAATGTTGGGTTATCAAAGTTCTAATTCAGTTGGTTCTAGTTTCCAGTTCTAGTTTTAGTTTCAAGGGGGTTAAACTAAAAAAATACAAAAATAAAAATTAGCATTCATGACACGGTCACTCTTTATGGCAACATGCACTGTGACCTTTCATATTATATATGTGATATTTTATACATAAGCTTGATATCACTTAAGGTATTTAAACTCCCCAAATCAACTGTGCTTTTCAATCAATCCTCTTATCATTAACAGCGAATCTAAAGTCTATAATAAAGTCAAACAGAGAGACTGACAGTTTGAAATTGTGAATGAACAGCTGCCAATCTATCGGTCACATGAAGGCAAAAAGACGCAAAATTCTAATTAAGAGAAAACAAGCCTGGGCGAAGCTAGGTGTCGAGGGTTTTAGCCAAAATGAAACGTTTTATTCATTTTTTTGTTAGCATTTGGCCTAAATGATTACATCAATCTGCCCCCAAAAGCCCGTAGAGTCCATTTGACTTGCAAATGACCAAATGAGCCCAGACATTTGCAATTTAGACAGTAATAGCATGTAAAACCAAGATTCAGTAATTAGTGTCTATTTCTAAGGACAGACATATTTAAAACATCCGCACACTATTAAGAGAGGCTGTCCTGCAATCAGGACAAGTGCATGACGGAAACAGAGAATTTCATGCAAATATGCAATCGGCCACCGCAGAGTGATACTTCAGCCAGAGTGTAACAGTGCCCTTGCCATAGAGGAGACAATTGGGCTTGGGTAAGATTTAAATAAATGATGAGAGAGAAAATCAGGACTCCCATTGCTCTTCAAGGTCTTTTTTTCTTCTTCATTCGTTTCAGAAAGCCTTGTTGATTATCTTAATCTACTTGACCTTCCGTTATTTGGTATAGCATCTAAACAGACGAGACCCCTGGGGATCTTACTAGTTTAAATACGGACAGAACATAGTGTGTGACACACTCCCTGATGGCGTGAATGAGGATCAGATTGTTCTTGATTACATATTCAAGAAAGATCCTTGACACAATGTGTGTATCACTGTTCAAGTGTAATCTCCCTTTAGCAAACAAAACCTAATTTTAATACGGTGGTCTACCCTAGAGAGAGAACGGGGTACGTTTGGAGACTTGAGATAGTACCGAAAGTTACAAATGAGATTTGCTAATGTATCTGGATTTGCTAGGTCTAATCTTAATGAGATTTGTAGCACTCATTCAAGAAATCTATCCTATATGGTTGGTGACCACATGAAAACAAGAATCAAACTTTATGAATTATAAATAGGGAATAGTTATAAATAGCTGTAAATTGATCATAGCTATAAGATCAAAATACGGGGCCTGAGTTGTACTATGTGAGTTGAATACAGCTGTATCTTTAAGGTTGTATATAAACACATAGGGGACATTCCTGAGTCAGGACAAGACATGCTGTGGTACAGATGGGCGTGGACAGCTGCATTCTACAGAAAGTGTATTCTGCACTTTAACCTGTAGGGGTCACTGTATGGATGTGAAACGTGAAAACAAAATGTTTGGTATTTGTCAAAAGAATTGGCCAAAACCGAATAAGGTCGAGCAAAAACAATGATGGTTTTAAATCAATACCCGATTCTTCCTGTATTCGAAGAACTGTGATAGGCCGAAGGCTGTTGCTACAGCTCCTCCCCCTATTAGGGTTCCTTTCACTGCCTTTCTGAAAGCCATTGATCCCTGAAACATTAAAAAGTTAAGCAGATTTTTGGAATAAATGCCTTTGGAAACAGAAAAAGTTCAGAAAACATCATGTTAGTATCACTTCATTTTTCCAAATCCTGATAAGCCTTTTGCAATGTACTGTGTATTTATAATGTATATTATTCGGATAAATAATTTCCATATATAATAATTTAATTTAATATTAATTTATGCATTTATCAGATGCTTTTATCCAAAGCGACTTACAGTGCATTCAGGCTATACATTTTTTACCAGTATGTGTGTTCACATACATATACATATATACATTTTTTTTAAAAACATAAGGATTTAACATAATGTCATTGTGTCCAGTGCTTATATCAATGGCAACGACTAATAATTTTTTTTATTTTTGAAGTTCATTCTGTCTCATAATTGCCTGTATTATAAATTCCTCCTGTCTGATGTCTTGAAACTCACCATTGTTTTGTGTCAAAATGAAACAAAACTGTCATATGTCCCAGTAGTTGTGTAAACTACTGTATGACTCCAAAAACTCACAATCTCTGGTGAAGGTCAAAGTAAAGCTATAATCAATCTCGACCTAATGCTCTGGGTAGGGATGCAAATCATTTCACTACATGATACTAGAGGAAGTGAATGAGTCATTCTTACTACACTGTTTGAATTCACACCTGTCCCACATGGTCCGTGTATGGCCAACCATGTGCGAGAGAGAGAGAGAGAGAGAGAGATCTTACAGGGTTATTATTTTACCAGTTCGTGTACGAGAATGAGACTCCTAGACTGGAGTGTAAACATGTACAGTAATTCAGGCTAAAGTCAATAATATATTGCATCTCTAAAATCTTGCCTCAAACCGTTTTCACTTCATTAGAAAAAACAGAACAGTTCCCTTTATGCTCAGTTCTTAAAGACAACAGTGATGAATACAGACTCATATAGTGTATCCGCTGCATCACATGAACTCACATTAATTACTGACATCGAATCAAATCATCACCGATCGAGCTCGAGACAAACACATCGTGCGATAACATAAAGCAAAGCCCACAGCTGGGAATTTTACTTATGATGAAGCGATTTCTATAACACGTATTTCAAGAATTCACACACTATGGGGCTGGTGCAACAATGGCTGGCTCGCATCCAAGAATAGATCGGACAGGCTCGATGATCGACGTCAAATAATGCAGCAAGTAATATGCCAAGACCACTGGTTTTTACTTACTGGTTCTGGCGATGGTGACGATGACGTCTAAAAAGGAAAACCATGGACAGTGAAGGTATCAACTGGGTGATGTTACAATGTTACTTATTCAGGAATCCAGGAAGTACAATGACAGGAAGTATTTGACAGACAGGTGGATGGACAAATCAGTACAGAGGATTCACAGCTCTCGTCCAATCATTTTTAGGAAGGCGTGTCCAGGCGTCTAATTGTAGACGCACTTGGAATAGAAAGGCGTTTTGTAAAACCATTCTTTATGAGGGACGGTGTACAAACACACCTAAGACACTGTTTAACTCTCAGTGAAACAGTATAATTGAACAAATGGATTTGGACCACATGTATAGCTATAACATTCGTTTAGACGAGTATTTTAATCCGAGAGCAATTTATTACTCAATTGTTTACAGCTCATTTACTTTCTCTATTATGAAATGTCAAAGAATAGCTTAACTGAGGCACTAGGCTATGCATACTGCATGCACTTTAGAATGTTTAAAAAATAAAAAATAATGGATTCTTTGCCAGGCACTTTATCGTGTCAGTTGCGCAGGTGAGACTTTCAGCCTAAAAAAGTTCAGCGCGACCGCGTCAAGCGTCATGGAGCTGGAAGCTGCTGACGTTACGATGACGCAGCTCGCAGTCCAAACAAAGTTGCCTCTGTTACAGCGGGATTCCCTTCTCACAATGGAAACCCTTCACCGCTCAGAGAGCAGTGGAATCAGATGAAACACATCCTAATCTATTGAAATTTTCCCTAAGCATGATGCAGGTAGAAACAGATATGGCGTCACTATACTGAACAGTGTTTCTAGCCCTGCATCCTTAGATTCAAGGCTATAAGGCGAAATTTTATTGTATATGGTTACATTTTTTCTTTAATATATTTTTTCTTTAATTTTCAAGGCTTAATGAATTACATGGCTTTCCCCTTTCCACTAAATTCTGTAAGAATATTGCAACAGTAGAGCAATTTGTTGTGTTTTGCACCCTTCTCCATAATCTGTTTTATTTTTATTTATTTATTTTAATTCCTAATTTGCGGTTTTCCTTTCTTTAAGTGTGTCTGAAAAAAAAAAACATTTAATTAATCAGCACTTATTGCTGCATTCATTTATGAACTGGATAAAACAGAAGATAATGTCTTTGATTTATTATGCCCGACCGGCGAGTCCCCAAAATAGTGACAAAAAATCAGTTCATTGCTTCAAATCAGTGAGATCTGATCTCCTGTAGGTGGTTTCTATATTGGGAAATGGTTTTGCGCAACAGATTATGTGTAGGAAATTCAACTCATTTGACCCAGTGGACAGTCCCGCATATGGAAACGCGTGGACGATTGAATTGCGCACAGGGCGCAATGAGCGCGCTGAAGAACAGTCCCTCTGTCCAGCGATTAGCTCGCGTCAAGGGTTGACGCGCCTGACGTCACGCCCTCTTAGCACGTGGGCTGTGGCATTCAGAGTTCTCATAAACAAAGGCACATTGCGCTCAGACGCCAGTCTTCGCGTGCAGTCGAAGGAGTAAGGTGCGCAAAGACATTGGCTCTACATGCAGACGGAACTTCTACCAACAGGAACAGCTACATGGATACGTAATTTGGAACTGTTTTAAAAGCGATTTGAGGTATGTAACAGTAATTGTATAATAGTAACATGTATTTTATTTTAAAAACTAAATTTGTGGGAAGATTGTAAAGCAATACATCTACTAAAAATGCACGACCGTTTCTTAACTTTTGCCTTTATTTTTATTTTTTTTAAAATACAAATTTGAATCTTGTCAACACCTTAACATACATTTTCAAAGTAAAGTTGAAGTCATCTGAGTGCCTTGATGTTACAAAAATATATCAAGTAACTCGCACTGACATGCTTAAACTGTAAGATATATCACTAATCACTAATGATAAAAAGATTTCTTTCACAGAAAATCAAACGAACGGAGAGACACGCTCTGACATCAGCCCCTATTACTGATTTCAGAGATTGTTCCACGAGAGACAAAAGTAGCAGGTGTGCGGAGGTAAACTGGAGCAGGCCAGGGAAATGTATGTCAGAAAGTTTGCATACATTCTTTCCGATGGAAAATCCTGTGTTTCAATGTCTACTTCTTACACAGAAGGTTAACTGAGGAAATAAAGGGGTTTTATTTAAAACAAAAACTAAATAAATGAAGAATACATTTTCTTTTATGTTGCATATAAATAGTCACTAATTTCCAAAAGTGTAAAACTATAAAACAAATATTAGGCACCCTGTCAGAGAAAGCCATTACAATTCAGTTCTCTAACACTGCAGCCATGCCCTGCGTCCAGGCTCAGTATGGGACATCACCTCCAGGAGCCAGCCCTGCATCTCAGAGTTACAGCTACAGCACCACGGGAGAGTACAGCTGCGACTTCCTAACACCGGAGTTTGTCAAGTTTAGCATGGACCTGACTAACGCAGAAATTGCTGTCACTTCCTCGCTCCCCAGTTTCAGCACCTTTGTGGACACCTACAGTTCCAGCTACGACGTGAAGCCTCCCTGTCTCTACCAAATGTCCCACTCTGGGGATCAGCTGTCCATCAAGGTGGAGGAGATACCCGCACACAGCTACCATCAGCAGCAGCATCAACATCAGCCCCACCAGGCTGAGGAGAGCCTACCCCATACCGGACCTATATACTATAAACCATCCTCCCCAAACATCTCCCAATCACCCAGTTTCCCGGCGCCTCCACACCACACGTGGGAAGACAGCGGATCCCTTCACAGTTTTCATCAGAACTACCTGGCGACTTCACACATGATAGACCAGCAGCGTAAAAACGCGATGTCTCGGTTGTTCTCGTTCAAGCAGTCTCCTGTGGACACGCCGATGTCAAGCTGCCAGATGCGCTTCGATGGATCTCTGCACGTGTCCATGGGCCCGGACACCCCGGGTGCGCATCGTGCGCTGGACAGTTTTGCTTTACCGGCACCCCCGAGGAAACAGCACGCTGTGGGTTTATCCCACTCGCTTAATGTCGGATACCCTTTACTGGAAAGCCCGGTGGCCTCACCCCCGGCAAGAGGATCTCCATTCAGTGAGGGTTTATGCGCTGTGTGCGGGGACAACGCAGCCTGCCAGCACTACGGGGTGCGCACTTGCGAGGGGTGCAAAGGATTCTTCAAGGTACACTTTTTTAAATCACTAATACTACAAATCTTTTATCCAAATTACACTTATTAGAGGCATAGTCCCACTGGGGTAAATGATTATAGTTCATGGAGTGTCCGAACCTATGTTACCAGCCTAACTAGAGATTGGAACAAGAAAATGCATGGTGTAGAACTGGTCTACAGTAGGCTATCCTTAATTATCTCAGTTGTATTGATTTGACCCAATATGCACCTAGGGACACCTCCGTTCATCTCTGCCACCATTACTTTCGTCTAGAATTAAATTGGTTTGTGCTGAGAGTCCTATCGCGCCTAACCGAGCGTAACGGAACTCCCAGTGGTGACATTAAGACAGCTCTTTATGTTACCATCGTGATAGAATAATCTCGCTAATCCGACAAGAGGGGTCGCGGAGAGAGCGTCGGGGGACCCCAAATTATGGCTGCCCACGGATCTGTATTTACCGAATGTCTGCTCTGTCCGGCCCTTGAATGTATTACACAGCTTTGGGCTGGAGTGCAGGGTTTGAGTGTCCTATTCCATTGTAACTTCACACTGTGATTGCAGTTCAAGTTGTCCATGCGAATGGAGTAGATTTACATGCAATTAATACGCTACATACATGTGCTTTTTCTTTCTAGCGCACGGTGCAGAAAAACGCCAAATACGTTTGTCTGGCAAACAAAAACTGTCCTGTGGATAAAAGACGGCGAAATCGATGCCAGTATTGCCGATTTCAAAAGTGCCTGGTCGTAGGGATGGTAAAGGAAGGTAATGTCAAGCAAGTTTTCTGTTTTCTTCACGTCTCCAAGGTTTCGTTAAAATGATGCACGTTACACTGTATTATCACAGGGATGTGGTCTAATATTGTAGTGCAATTTATATAACCAATATATATTTTTACAGTTGTGAGAACAGCCAGTTTAAAAGGTCGAAGAGGTCGCCTCCCCTCCAAACCTAAAAGTCCGCAGGACATTCCAGTGTCTATGACACCCGTCAACCTCCTGAACGCCCTAGTGAGAGCGCATATAGACTCCAACCCCTCTATGGCCCGACTGGACTACTCTAAAGTAAGCATCAAACATTGTGTAAAACGTTAAGCTTCAATGAACGAAGTACTATTTTAACAACTCAACATTCAATTAACAGTAGAATTTCAGAAGTGATAAGTCTAATTTACACTAAAATTCTAAGAGGGTAAAGTTGCCTTTAATGCTAAACTTTTATCATTTCCCCTGTTCTATTCTGTTGTCACTTTTTCTTTTTGTATTAAATTATAGTTTCAGGCGAGTCCAGAGTATCATAGTGGAGGAGCTGAATCTCTACACATTCAGCAGTTCTACGATCTTCTCACTGCTTCAATGAGCATCATTCGCGGATGGGCCGAAAACATCCCCGGGTTCACTGACCTGCCCAAATGCGACCAGGAACTGCTTTTCGAGTCAGCCTTCCTTGAACTTTTTGTGCTGCGTCTGGCTTACAGGTATGCGGACCTAATCTGAACGGACTCGCTGTTTTTAAACGGATCTATTTTCGAAAGACAAATAATCACTTTAACAATTTCTTTCAGATCTAACCTGACAGAGGACAAACTTGTTTTTTGCAATGGAGTGGTTTTACACAAGTTGCAGTGCGTGCGAGGCTTTGGGGAGTGGATCGACTCTATCGTCGAGTTTTCTTCCAACATTCAGAACATGAGCATAGACGTCTCTGCCTTCTCCTGCATAGCCGCTCTCACCATGGTTACAGGTAAGACTTGTCTGACCTTTTCCAAGTGATGCACAGAATATACAGCATGCTTCACCTCTGACGGACTGTTTCTCATCTCCATAGAGAGACACGGACTAAAAGAGTCCAAGAAAACAGAGGATCTTCAAAACAAGCTCATAAACTGTCTGAAGGGTCAGGTGTCCTGCAGTGGTGAATTGTCTAAACTGTTGGAGAAGCTGCCGGAGGTGCGCGCGCTATGCACGCAGGGACTGCAGCGCATCTTTTACTTGAAACTGGAGGATTTGGTTCCCACGCCTGCGATCATTGACAAACTCTTTCACGATACCTTA